GAAGGGTATAGTAATATAAACAGTTTACTCTGTGATGATCCCAGTTTGGCTGATCTTGTCACTGCTGCTATAAACTAGTTTGCTCTCTGTAAAATATGACCCCATGATTTTGTCTTTAATGTTGTTGCATCTATATATTATTGTTAATTATTTATAAAAATATTTCTAGAGCTATCCCAATTCCAAAATTAAAAATTGAATAAAAATCACAACATCGAGAAATATGACAGTTACCCAAAGGGAACAATACAAATTCTCATTTATAATTTAATTACATAAAATGTTTATGATTGGTCCAAGATCTGGAGTAATACAGGTAATCCAAAATTTCTGTTGCTAAACAAGGCAGTTAAAGTGTGTTTTCTCCAACTTTGCAGCCTTTCTTGCCACAGTTGTTAAGCGAATCACTGCAATGCAACTTTCATAAATACATCCCAGTTGTCTCAATTTTGATTATGAGACCATGGAGATGTTACAATGGTCATGTGTGAAAACCAGTCATAAGAAACTTTTTTCAGGACCACTGTTACTTTGAACAGTCTCTAAACAAATAATTGTAAGTTGAGGACTAGATTTTCAATGCTTATGTAAAGGCAAGCAAATTGGCAGTCTCTGCAAGGGTACTATTCCAGAGGAAACATGTTTTGACAAAGACAAACTTTCTAGGTTTTTCTAGAGCAGGGGTGTCAAACTCAAGGCCTGGGGGCTGAATCCAGCCCGTCGGCTGCTTAGATCTGGCCCCTGGAAATAGCGAAGGACTAGCCTGCAGTGCTGCCAGTGAAAATGGAGCCCGCGAGGGCAGTACACAGCCCCCCCCCAGCTCTATTTTCACGGGCAGAGGGTTGCAGGAGGCTGTTGCAGCTGAAAACGAAGCTCGGGAACACTTGGACCACCACAGGTGCCCAACACGTCACATCATGCTGGCCATGCCCACCCTGGCCTTTTGAGATCAAATACAACCCTGATACATCCCTCAAGGAAATCGAGTTTGACACCCCTGTTCTAGAGCGAGCAGGATCCAAAGGAGACAGAGGATAGGATATGGTAAATCATAACTAACTTCCTGAAATTGCACTCATAAACCTATTGATAACCATTGCAGCTCACATAGCAGAAGCGTTACATGGGCATAAGATTAATATACAATTACTCACATTGCCTCCTTGTGCACCAGCTGCAGCTTCTGAGTATATCTGAGTGGTGCAGTGGTTAGAGTGCAGTATTGCAAGCTACTTCTACTGCAGCCAGCTGCCTACAATTTGGCAGTTCAAATCCCACCAGGCTCAAGGTTGACTCAGCCTCCCATCCTTCCGAGGTCGGTAAAATGAGGACCCAAAATGTTGGGGGCAATATGCTGACTCTGTAAACTGCTTAGAGAGGGCTGTAAAGCACTATAAAGCAATATATAAGTCTAAGTGCTATTGCTATCTTACAAGTTTCATTTGGACAACTCTTTCACTCAGATAATTTTTTCAGTAAAAATTGTGGCTGAAAGGACCTTCAGGGATTGATGTACAACTTCAGTGTATAGAATAATATCATCCCATTTTATTCTGAGGAAGAAAATCCCCTAATGTGTACACAACACAGCATAATATTACATTAAATTAAAGATGGAGGGGGAAACAGGATTTGAAAATAGTAATGACTTGTCTACTTGTTGATGAGGCTATAGAAGGAAGTTCATATAGAGGATGCTGGAAAATGTGAACTCATTCTTTAATGCATGTATACAGAGAAGCACAATTTTTTAAATCCTCTCTGTTTTGCAAAAATGACAATCTTCTTAACAATCTTTACTGTGCAGTACTTTCAAATTAGAAGAAACAAAAATCTTCGTATGTTTTCATCCTGCTTGCCAGCTGCTAGCCAATAAATAGAACTCATAGGAAGTAGAGGAAATGGCTTGAGGCAAGACAGCTGAGGCTGGAATGCGGGACTGCTGATGGTACTGGAGTTTGGAGTTTATCACAAATGAAATGGATATTTGAGCCTCCAGTATATAAGTTCATCTAAACAAGACAAGATATGTATCCAGGAAAAAAAAAACGAAACGGGAGCATAATGAATCACACAGGATTGACAAAAAAGAAGCAGAGTCAGCCAAGAGCAGAGAGCTATGGGCAGGCAAAGGAGAAACAGTTTATATTCCAAGAAAAAAGGTGAAGTATAAGATACTTCCAAGTATCTTATCTGCATGGAAATTCTAAGAAAGAAATATTGCTGTAATATGAGCTAGTGGACTAAGAAAATACTCATAAAATACTTGTAAAGAGGCTATGAAAATGAAAGCAATGTAGAGGGGAGGATTAAAAGAATCATAGAGCCCTTAAAGAAATCAAACACTGCAAATCATTTATCATCAGTCTATCAACTTTAGAAAAAACACTTAACAGATCTACCTTTCCGATCTGTGTCTTCACATCCAAAAATATTATTAAATTTTAAATATGATGCAAAACTGTTTTTTTTCTCTCTATCTCATTTTTTCAATCTATTTGAGATATTACTGAAATTTTGGAGTACACTGATATAACCTTTAATCTTAATTAAAATATATATGTTATAGTGTATATACCAGGCCATTCATATTCAGGTCAGGAAAGACTTTTTATATCTCTCACAAACCACCATTCTACTTTAAGAAAGCTCCTATCATGTTTAGAATAGAATAGAATAACAGAGTTGAAAGGGACCTTGGAGGTCTTCTAGTCCAACCCACTGCTTAGGCAGGAAACCCTACACCACTTCAGACAAATGGTTATCCAATCTCTTCTTAAAAACTTCCAGAGCATTTACAACTTCTGGAGGCAAGTTGTTCCACTGATTAATTGTTCTAACTGCCAGGAAATTTCCTCTTAGTTCTAGATTTATTTCTCTCCTTGATTAGTTTCCACCCATTGTTTCTTGTCCTACCCTCAGGTGCTTTGGAGAATAGCTTGACTGCCTCTTCTTTGTGGCAACCCCTTAGATATTGGAACACTGTTATCATGTCACCCCTAGTTCTTCTTTTCATCAAACTAGACATATCCAGTTCCAGAAACCGTTCTTTATATGTTTTAGTCTCCAGTTCCCTAATCATCTTTGTTGCTCTTCTCTGCACTCTTTCTAGAGTCTCAACATCTTTTTTTACATCATGGTGACAAAATAGTTATTTTTTAAAAATATTTTTTTTAATTTTTTTACAAACATATCATTGTGTGAACAGAGTGTCTTACATTTTAGAACAAATATGATAATATTCTCCATATTTAATACAGTTGACAATCTTAATAATGATACACACATTTTGTTAAATTGTAATATTTCATTCTTTGATCATTCACCATTTCAATCTTATTTTTGTGTCAATCTTCATATTCTGAATATCCCTCTTTTAACTACAAATAAAATATTATTAATCATATTTGTGGTGTTTAACAGTCTTATATAATTCTAATAAAAATTCACCAATTTATATTGGGTTATAATCTTCAATTATTATCCCCTTTCTGATTTCTATGCCACTATTATATTGACTAAAATAGTTAATGGGTTAAAAAACATTCTTAATTGTAAATCTGCAGTGAAGCTGTTACACTATGGATAGGAGGTCTGCTCATTTTTCTATTTAATTAAATTAGAAATAGGTATATAGTGACATGTTCCATGAATACAGTTATGCCCATAGAAGAACTGATGTGGTTTCCATCTTCAAAAAATCAGACCTAGGAAACTGCAGACCAATCAGCTTAACATCAATACCTTGAGAAGGTATTAGAAAAGGTAATCAAAAAACAGATTTGTGAACATTTAAGAAACAAATAAAATTATAACTAGAAACCAGCATGGGTTTGTTAAAAACAGATCCTGTCAAACCAATCTTATTTCATTCAAAGTGACTAAATTAATAGAGCAGCGAAATGCTATGGACATAATCTGCTTCTTAGTAAATTAGAAAAAAGTGAAGTAGACAGCTTCACTACCAGTTAAATTTGTAACTGACTGACAAGCCATACTCAACAAGTCTTCCTTAATAGTACTACATCTATATAGAAAGAAATAAGCAGTGGGGTACCACAAGGTTCCATCTTAAGCCCAGTACTCTTCAATATCTTCATAAACGACTTAGGGAATAGAAGGGGAACTCATCAGATATGCAGATGACACTAAGATGGCAGGAATAGCCAACATCCTAGATGATAAGATCCAGACAGATCTCGACAAACATTGGATGCTATCTAACAAAATGAAATTCAATATAGAAAAAAGTAATATCTTACACTTAGGCAAGAAAAACCACAGGTTTTCCACAGTCACGTGAACATATTTTGTGTGCTTGGCAATCAGCTCATCTTTATGAGCTTTAGTTGCAGCATCTCTGGTCATGTGATCATTATTCTAAGAAAAAAAATCCATTCAGAAGAATGGCTTCACACTTATGATCGTGGTGTTTGTTTAACTTCAAAAAAATAATAATCTTAAAATCATGTCACGCAGGTGCATGTCTTACAGCTATTATGACATGCAAACGGAAATCTAGTCCCAATTGTGATCATAAGTCAAGGACTACCTATAGTAGACTCACAGTTTATAACTTTTTTTTGGTTGTTTTTAAATCAAGACCATCAATGACATGTTGGGATAAAGAACCAGCTGGGAACTTTATTTTAAGAAGTTGGACAAATAATATTTACTGGTAAAACTGGCATTTCCCATATTGGGTTAATATTTGTTTTTGTTTTTTAAATCACCAATATATTATTATATTCTATATATTAGTCTTCTCATATCTCTAGAAATGTTGGATTACAATTTTAAGAATACCAAATCAATGTTGTCAGATTTATGGATGCTATGTCAGTTAGTTAAAACAGATGGTAGGGGACCAAACCAAGGAGAGCTAAAGTAAATGATGTGTGTGACAGAAAGAGATCATGATCAAAACTAAATATATAAATTCACTAAAAATAAACTATATGCCATGTGTCAGTTTATGTATATCCATACATTTTTAATACCTTTGTCTTTGTTTTTTTCTTTTCCAAGGGAATCCAGTTTCTTTCTCAATGATTTCTTCCTCTTTTGTCCATCTAGAACATACAAGCAATAAATGTTAGCAAGTACAGCAAGGGTTTTCTGCATGAGGTGTCAAGTTTAATTTACCAAATGCCAGATAACATATGAATAATTTTATCTATCTGAAATAATGGGCTGGTACCTAGAAAAATATGTTTTTTGTATATTTGCTTGTAACATTCTACAAATCTCATAATAGGCTTATAAATAAACCTGTCCATTATAAAAACTATTACCGGTTTATAATAAAAAGTTCATACCTCTTTGAGATTAAGCCTACTTTATACTTTATGATGATGTATAGGTTATTTCTCTTAGTAGCAGAAGTCATACTAGCTAACATTTTCTAATGCATCTATTTTTGTAAATAGACTTTTATAAAAGGTATTTTATAATAAAATGTTCTGCTATGATTAAGAAACTTAAACTGCTTTAACATATCATCTTAGTATATGAATTGTAAAGTAGAACTCCACCAATTTTCTCGGCAATTAAGCAGATATTTGTTCAACTTGAGAACTTTATTGTTTGCCTCAACTTGCCATTTCAGAATATTTAAGGGATGGACCTGTAACCTGACTATGCTACTTTAAATTGCAGGCTGGTTTGAATGCTTTTCCATTCAACAAAAAGTGGGGGCGTAAACAGCAAAAAGTACATCACATTATCTTCATGACAGGTCTCATGAGGCTTACAACAAACAGTTCCAATTGCAGAATTCACCAATCCAGGAAACATTAGTGTTTAGTAAGTGTTGTCTCAGCAAATACACATTTCAAGGTAATGGACAGAATTACTCTTCGAAGGCAAAAATACACATTTGTGCCCAACTTCTAAATTTGGAAAAAAAAAAGGTCAGATGCTACTCTCTGGCTTTCTGCTTCAATTCCCACTTTCCACACACGTAGAGCTACCCCCTTTGATAAATACACATAGTCTCTGAAAGAGACTAGCGAGAGATGACATCAGAGAGGATGTAGGGAAGAACTATTAAATAATTTCCTTGGCTGTCCTTTCTCCACAGAAATTCTTCTGCTGTCATTTCAAACTAAAGGATAAAATTATTCATAAAAGTTTCCTAAGCAAACTGATTAAACATAGGATAAGAGCTTTTATTTTTGTAGTGGTAACTGAATAAGAAACAAAAAGTAGAGAGTAAAAAAATTCTCTGTTTGGTTCATGCAGTGTTGAGATGCAAACACATTTATGTGGATCGGTACTTTTAATTTGTCAGAAATGATACAAAGGAAGAATTGTGCAATAAAGTCCCAAATTGCTCTGAGTGGTTAAAATAAAAAGAGACATTGATATTTCTTCAATCTGGAGGAATTACTGCAGCAAAAGTTGAATTACAGCAGCAAAAGTTGCAAAAGTTGTAAAATGCTAATTGCACATAAACTGCAAATATATATCACACAATTTATCTAGGAATCATGGGACATTAATGAAGACATTAACTGAATGGTTCAGTATTTTTAGCAATAAAGAAAATATCACCAATGTCATTATATCTTTATATAAGCACTGATCTTGCACAGAATATTTTATCCCTGAAATTTAAAACATTTGAAGGTTTTTACTTTGGAAAAGGCAAGAGCTGGAGCATTCTGTACTAATTATGGTTTACAGGTAGGCTTCAAAGGCAATCTGTGTAGTATAGAGACATTGGATAGGTTTGGGACATCCAGTGAAACTCAACTGGGAAAGATTATGCACAGACAACAAGAAATATTCTTTATATATTGTTAACTTATGGTATTCTCTATAGATATTACAGCTATATTTTTGATGCCATTGCATGAAGCAGACTGATATGAGAGTGCTAGTAAGATCCAGTTTTAAGAGAGAGGGAGACTATGAAGAATTTTTTTATATAGAATCAGATTTTAGGATCTTCGAAGAAGGCAATGGCAACTCACTTCTGTCTTAAGTGTTCTTTATTTCCCCCCCTCCCCTCCCCAGGACTGAAGCTTGAGTGAAATGTTAAATACAACTGGCCAATTTTACATGACATGGATTACAACAGGGGTCCCCAACCACCGGTCCACGGACCGGTCCCGGTCCGCGGAACAAGTCCTACCGGGCCGCTGGCTTGCTGGGTGCCGCCATCTTTTTTTGATGAAAAAGTGCTTCCGGTGAGCTTTTCCGGGTAGAAAGCTCACCGGAAGCACGTTTTCATCAAAAAAAGATGGCAGCGCCAGAGCTTCCGGTGAGCTTTTCCAGGTAGAAAGCCATTTCTACCCGGAAAAGCTCACCGGAAGCGCTGGCGCCGCCATCTTTTTTTGATGAAAAAGTGCTTCCGGTGAGGTCACCGGAAGCACTTTTTCATCAAAAAAAGATGGCGGCGCCCAGCTGATGCCGGTACTGGGCCGCGGCGCCCAGCTGATGCCGGTACCGGGCCGCGGCGTAAAAAAGGTTGGGGATCACTGGATTACAAAATGAATAGCTACATGAAATGATTATATATTACTTCTACTAATAGAAGTAGTAGGTTAGATAAAATGATTATATATAACTTTTAGATTTAGATAAAATGATTATATATTACTTCTACTAATAAAAGCAGTAGGTTAACAGTCACTAGAAACATTACAGAAAGGCTGATACTATATTTATATTTGAGGAGTTCTCAATTTTTATCTATCTGGCTTTTATAGGAATAGAAAAAATATGGGATAAAAAACTAATGGTTAAACAACCATATGGAATGCTGTGTTTCAGTGGTGGGATTCAAAAAATTTTCACTACCGGTTCTGTGGGCATGGCTTGGTGGGTGTGGCAGGGGAAGGATACTGTAAAATCTCCAATCACAGGTGGTATTTGCCGGTTCTCCGAACTACTCAAAATTTCCACTACCGGTTCTCTAGAACTGGTCAGAACCTGCTGAATACCACCTCTGCTGTGTTTATTTATTATTAAAACCAATTGAATGCTATCATTTCATTACAAATCATCAGAATTTAAAACATCTATAGTAAAAATAAAATTATGCTTCAAATAAACAAATCCAATAGGATAAGAGCCTCAATATAATCCATACAAGAATAACACCAATGAATAACAATCCAAAATAAAATGATGCAGACAATTTTGCATTAAACAATTTTTTCAGAAAAGCTCTACTTTTAACATGTTCTAGAAGCACCATTAATGTTGCAGCAGATCTAGCTATAAGAAGTGACCATTCTAGAGACCAGGGGCAGGGCCTCAAACTAATTTCTCCTAGTCTCTTGGCTTCCTTCACTTTAGGAAAGTGGGTAACCACTAATACCCATTTCTAGGAGAAGCCTACTAGATGGATTGATTCCATTGGGCCACTGTATTCCACACTAATTATGTCTTACAAATGGACATCAAAGGCAGCTGAGTATCATCTATGGCCTATCAGATTATATCTTCATAAAATAGTATATGTGAATCCAGAAAGTCCTAAGTTTAGCTTCCCATTCAAGAAACAACTCTGGAGCATAGCTAGTACTGCAAGGTTCAAAGTAACTCCATCTTATTAGCATTCAAGATCAGCTTATTTTACCCAGCTCAATTCCTTATAGCATAGCCTCTAGATAAGAATCAAGACTTCCACAGCCCAGGGACAAATGGTGATATACAGTTGGCTATAATCAAGCATGCTGATGATCTCTCCCACCTTTTGCAGGAAGACAATTAACATGAGGTAATCCTGAGAACCCAGTGTCAATATAAAGAGAAACTAAGTAGATATATTTATCAGTGGAAGTTTAGCAAATAGAATGCGAAGATCATTAATCAATCTTCAGTCTTCCAAATCAGCAAATAGCTTAATTTTCTAATTAAGTACACTGGTCTCAACCAAGCAATGAAAATAAAACAAACCAAAGTTCAAACAAATTACCCATGACAAATAGAAACCAACCTGTTGTGCTGAGTGTCAAGATATCTATTTCTCTGTGGGTGATTACTGCAATAAAGGGGGCTCTAAAACAATGTTTATTTAGTGCATGCAAGATGAATAGATTAGAGAAACTACAAAAATCAGAAGGGTTGAGACAAAAGAATTTCAGATCCAAAATAACATCATTATCAACTGAATAATGTTTCCCATTGTTGAATGATAAGCAACAAGATTCCCAACCTGAAATCTTAAAAATTAGTACAGATAATACAATCAGTACAGATTTTATCTGAGCCCAAGGTATTATTATGATCATGAATACTACAAAAAAAAAATTCAGATACTATACCCAGCTGCAGCTTCATTTAGTGTGGCCTCCATCAATCTGACACCTTATTTATTTACTGAAAAACATCATAAGATTGAAGTTCACTTTAGTTTACATATTTTTCAAACTATCCAAACAAATTGTTTGGAGAAAAATCTATCCCATAGGAATATCAGAAACTGTTCTACAAGATCTGAGGGCTTGTAAAAAAATCACAGTCAGATGAAAGTATTTAGCATCAGATAGAAAAGGTACTTGCATGCTTTGGGGAAAAATGAAAGAATAAAGCTGCAAAAATATAACTATCATTATATTACTATCATTCACATTCAGCCTGATTAATATATGTAGTGTTGGAAATCTTTGAACTGGAATAGTCCCCTTGAATGTATACACTTTGTTTAGAGAAGCTCATGAATTATTTTGTTAAATAAAAATAAATTATTCACTTGATTTTTAAATTTTTTTAGTTGAGCATATGGTCACTTCATGATCCTGTGCTCAACTAATTAGCACTGTTTTGAAATGCTTTGTCCTGGCAACATCAAAGCTACCCAAATAGGAGGCTGCAGGCTATGGGATTTCAGGTAGTCCTCAACTTATGATCACAGTTGAGAATTGAGTTTTGGTAGTTAAGTGGTTGTGGTTGTAGTCAAGAAACCCATGTGATGAGACCTTATTTTTCAACTATTTTTACTGTGGTAATTAAGTGAATGACGTGGTTCTGTGAATCACATGGTTGTTAAGAAAATTCATTGTCCCAAACGGGCATTTAAACCACCAAAAAACATCACAAATCACAGTCACATGACTGCAGGACAATACAACTGGTCACAAATGCGACCGGGCTTTCAAGTGCCCAAAATGATGGAATGTGGGCAGATGGTACAATTTTTTGCTATGGTCAGAAATGCTTTACAAGCTGTAAAGCAGGGGTGTCCAACCTTGGCAACTTTAAGAGTTGTGGACTTCAACTCCCAGAATTCCTCAGCCAGCTTTGCTGGCTGAGGAATTCTGGG